TGAAATAGTGTGAAATTTAAATATTGATAACATCTCACTTTCTGAGATACTTTTAAAACAAGCAGGTCACTGGACTGGTCCTAGAAGTTTTGGAAGCCATAGAATTGTGACGGTCTGAGAATCTTTATTTTTTTTTTAAATTTTCCCAACAAAAATGCGAGGAAATAGGTACTTTCATTCATACTATTGGTAGAATATAATCCATGCAACCTCTTTGGGGAGCAGTTTTGCAAAATTTGAAATGCACATTCTCTTTGACCTAGGAATACTACCTCTAGGAATTTATCCTACACATAATTGTCCATGTATTCAAAGAGATACATTCACTGATCTTCACTGCAACACTGCTTGTAACAACAATGGATTACTACCTACATACATATGTAATAGATGCCATATAACGGAATATCATGTAGCCATCGTAGTAAATGAGGTAGATCTATATGTGTTAATATGGAATAATCTTTAAGATATACTGTTAAGTTAAAAAACAAAGATGCAACACAGAGTTTATAACACGGGCTCATTCAGGTAAGAAAGGGCATGGACACATATGCTTCCAAATATATCTGGAGAGCTACACAAGAAACTGATAGAAATGGTTGTTTCCAGGGAGGTACAATGGAAGTGAGGAATAATACACTTAATTTTCACTTTATGCCAAGTGTACGTATTATTTGTTCACTTCTTTTTAAACTCAGTTAATAAGACAGTAAGGCACCTAGATGATTATGAGGTGCAGCCTCATGCGGGAGTCACTGCACCTCTCCAACTCCTGCATATTTAATAGGAAAGAACAATGCAACATTTAAAAATATATTTCACATACATTACCATCTTTCTCTGTTGGCTATATTTAACAAACTTGGTCAAACTTTTAGGCTGGAAATCCTTAAATATGTCTTCATTTGTAAGTAATTACAACACATTCTTTCATTTTCCTATTCATTCACTTACATACTTAGTCTTCTGCAAACACTGAGCATGGTACTAGGTGCTATGAGTATAGAGAGGAAAGACAAGGTCCCTCCTCTCCAGTCTAATTGGAAAAAAGTGCAAGCAAATAGGCAACTACAATACAGTGGAAATCGCCATGACAGAGATAGCACAGGGTGCTGGTGGCCATTGTTCCTTTTCAAAAGGGCCACCAAATAATTCACTCCATGACTACCTACAATGGTCAGTGACCCTTATCCTTCATGCTCTATCGTGTCCTGCTCAGAACCCTAACCTAGAGCTGCCAATCATTAGCTTCTGCTAAAAGACTGCACACAACAAGACGTCCTGGGCAAGTGTTCACCAAAAGCAGGACCCCAGACCACTTGCATCAGAATAAACTTGAGGTTATTATTAAAGACGTCATTTCCTAAATTCCAGCCCATGCCTCTTGAACCAGAGTCACCAATGGCCGAGACCAGATTATTATACTTAAAGAAATTTGATAATCATTGGTCTAGAAAACCAAACTATTTTGATAAATTTTTCTTAGGGCCAAATTTGCTACAGACTTAAATAGGGGCCTCCAAAAGCTATCACTAAATTATTCAGGTTTCCATAGGAAAACTAACTGGTAAGTCTTTTGTTACAAGAAGATGCCTCTGATGTCAAAATGTATAAGCTAGACGTGTTTACTTAAGAGAGCTATTCCTGGAGACTGTTGCAGGCCTTTGCATTTCTTAATATATGCTTCTCTTTAATATAGTAATAGGCTGCTGATGTAGCCTTGGGTGATATTTTAATATTCTTCCCAGGGTGGCTGAGAAGGCAGAGCTGTAAATCA